AAATTCTGCAACCGCTATCCAGTTTACATCAGTCATTTCTCTATATATTGGTAGCCTATCAAATATATCTTTGGACCTCCTCGCTTTTGACTTTTAGTTTCACTGGATGAGCACGATTCAATTATAGAAGGTGTTACTGGTCAGTGTTGTCAAACTACAAATACCCGTGGCATCTTCAACTTTTTTCCTTGATTAGTCTGAACATTTATCTGCTGTTACCTACCGCTGACGTCTTTTCCATCTCTGCTTTCGTTGCCCGCCACTGCTCACAATCATTGCGTAGGCATTTTATCGGCCTACGTCTAAGCCTTCTTCGTTCTTCATCGTGTTCGGAGTCAGATGAGATGTATTTCCGATTATCTATCAATTCAACAGATGCCTCTGAAATCCAATGGTTCTTTTTAACCTTTTGATTTAAGTTACTAGTTTATATCACTGCTGTCTTCACGACTTTTGGGATATCGTGCTAAGTTGCTTCAGGGTAGATATCACTTTCATTATTGTTTATTATTTATTTATTTGAACACATAAATATTGGTACAAGGGGGCACCAGATATATATGCGCCACACATGATTGATTAAATCCTCAAATTGTTCCTGAAATATATTCTCAATTTTTTCATCATGAATTTGAACTCTAGGGGTTTTTTATCGCTGTGGCTTTTTTATATTCATTAAGATGCAGACATATGCTCGAACTAGTCCATGATCTGAGTCTAAACATGTGCTACAGAATAGAAGAGTTTTTTCAAGCTTCTCAAACGATAGCTGATGGCAATATGGTCTATGTGAGTCCATCGGTGAGGCAATTGTGACAGTCATCACATCAGATGATGTTTTTCCTTGTGTTCATAATTGGTGCTTACTAGAAATACACGGTTATCCAAGCACAGTTGCAGCAGATGGTCGCTATTATCTGTTCGCTGAGCCGTGACACCTTAAGATCCATTTTAATGCTGAGGGAGGGATTTGATCATGAACAAAACGATCTCGAGTGATATAAGAGGAGGTATGAAGTCGGTTGTTACTGCCTGGGTCCCAACACCGTGAGGAGACAATCCTTCGTGAGCGACCTGAGGAGAAAGCTGGAGTAGTGGTGGCCACAAAAACCTGGCAATGTGGCTACAAAGCCTAAGGATTAACTACATGAGGTCGGTCGCGCATGGCCTTTTTATGGGAAGTTGTTGATATGTTAGCTTCCCATTTCACAAGGCCTTAATATTGGAGATGTAAATCTGTAGGGTAAGTTGAGGTTTGACATTTTTATGGTTGACCTTTTCTAGCCCCCTCATCCGTTTTGAGAAGATAGAATTGCTGCAAATGCTGGTTGTCCGAGGGAAACGCCTCACTGCTGTCACACCCCTCGACGGTTAACCTTATGACTTCTCACTTAGGCCTTAATTTGTTGGTTTTAGTCTTACCGTTCTTTGACCGACCTTCCTGGCATGGTAGGATCTAAAAGAACATGTATGTCAACCAATATTAGCTCGGTTGAGTCATCATGATAGGCAAGCCTAACCACCACGTCAAGGTACCATCTACTGTTGGAGTAACTTGTAGCTTAAACTTGTTCGTTAGTTGTGTAACTGGAAGCACTTGACTAGAAATGAAGAATAGTACGAGTAAATCTCGGATTACCAAAACTCCAAAAAGAGGTCACTAAACAAGGAAGTAAAGAAGCAGTAGAGATCCTTGTCATACCTACTGAAACATTGACTTTCTCAGTCCTAATCTTGTAAAGTATTAGTAGTATTAGACCATATGGTTGCAGCTTCGACCGTAACAGACTTCGAGGTTCGCACTTCTACTTAGTTTCACACTGCTCAAATAGATACGACTTGAAAATTAAACAAGATATAAGTCACAGTGTATAGTTACTAGAAGTATAACAGTATACATCTTTCGAGCTTTAAAGGCAGTTATAATTGCGAGGAGATGATATCTTCAGACGTTGAGCTTAATTAGTGGGCGCTTGACATGTGTCTCGATGTACCCCTGAACTCGTCGCTAGTGCGCATCCATGGTTCTGTCCTTCCTATATCATATCTTTTATCTTTTGCTGTAAACCATCTAGTCTATAGAACTCCAATTATAGGAAGAATGGTAATTTATATCTATATAGATTATGTCCTTTGCTCGTTAGAATCTGGACATCCCTCTCAGAGAATGCGGAAGGATGTCTTATTCGTAAAATTTGTTTAACTATTCGATAATACTATATGCAGAAACAGTTTGTTCAATTTAGTGAACAGTGAAACTACGAATCAAACTATGTAATATCAAGTGTACATGGACATTTTAAATTAATCGTACAGTCAACGATGAATAAATAAATAAAAATGGGTCGAAAACCCTAAGTCATTAAGGCTGTTTTAATGGAAACAAGCTAATGACAAATTATGTTAACAATCTGTCGAAACTACTAGACAGTAGTATAAAATTACAAACGTTATTTTAGATATTTCCAAATTCCCATATTGTAAATTAGAACAATATTGTTTTCAGTTAGATTACAGTTTGATAAGGATCTAAGTGGAAACAATATTTTAGATGTCAACAGTATTAGCTGCCAAATTTCCCTTATATTGAAGATGTACTCACGATGAGACTTAGAATGTTCTGGTAAACCAAAAATCGTTAATCATTTGGTGAGCAGGGTCTTTGTTAATCGATAAGGGTGGAATTCCAAATAAAACTTAGTTGGTCTTCATCAAGTTAATTCTGATCATAATAGATAATTAGACAGGAAATATTCTGTTAAGCTAAAACTTGTCATTTGTGATGTAGTGATTGGTTACTGATGTTGAGAAGTTTCTGAATTTATGGTAAAAAGTCATGACCAGTTGGATTCCTGTTGTATACCATTATTCCTTTATTTAGTATCTCTTGGATGCTACATTTCAGTTGACTCTTCCCAAATCAGAACAAGAAATAAAGTTGGGCAATACATATGCAAATAACCCGAACAAAAAAGACAACAGTAAAAGTAGGATTTATGTAGTACTTGCATGAGGACATGACATCATGATTCTTGGGATACAGCTGATTGGTCGAAAATGGATTAATCAGTGTATTGTGATTCGAGCTAGATCACAGCATGTAATTGTAGGGACTCTGTCCTGTTAATAAACATCAGTCTTGATACCTAGGTCCACAGCTTCCTGATGACTGCTTCTACTAACTATCGAACTTAAAAGCGTTTAAATTATTAACAATCACGTTTGTATAGAATAAACTGAATTGTACTTCACATTGATCAACCGATTACTTTATGAAAACAAGTTTACAATAGCGTATGATTCGACAGTTATAACCAACAGATATAACTAATTAACATTGTTATGAAAATACTTTTGAAATGTGATTTTATATTGTAGACTGTAGGAAAATGTCAGTTATTTATGTCATTAGCGCTCCAAACTGTTAAGTCCTTGCTCACCACATCACCAACTCAGTTAGACTTGTAGAACCAGCTACATTCAGCTGGAGAAATATGCGTAAGTGTTTAGTAACTGATAGCTGTTTGTTCTGGCTTATTAATTAACCTGTAGGAATGTGTCAAAAAACCTCTTAATAAAATCAAAAACAAAGTGCTCAGATTTATAAGCAAAAATGGATAGCGGCTAGCAGTGGAATCCAGGACGCGCGTTTCTTCCTATTTGGGACTCGTCAGCTGGATGTACCTGCATCTCGGAATTGATGTTCACTCTGGGACTCTGTCCTTGCTCAAAAAGCTTGTGACTTCAAGCAATATCGAGGCAGTTTTCACAGGATGCACATATAGCAACAAGAGACTGATCAATCGCAGTCCTGAATAACAATGGGAAGATACATGTAAACAACACCAAGTGTACAAATGTGTTCAGATGTTTAAATAACCAATGATAGTTTTACGTTATTGAGTTCGAACTCAACGGATGATACGTTTAGCTTTATCTATTTTTACGAAATCATTCACCATGATCATGGGATTTTTGTTTTATATGCAATTTGATAACATTACAGGTTTATTAAGCTGGGTAAAAATTAAGATGAAGTCAGATCCACATTGACTGAATGGTTGATGAGTTAAGAACTGATTCCCTCTAATCGTGTATCCTATCATTTTTTCTTTGTGTTGATAGTTTGTTTATGAGTATGTTATTTTATGACATAAAACACCTATTATTACCGTTAGTGATCTTTCTTGTCTATGGGTGAAAATCAATCTGGGGCTTATCTCAAGAATACAACCTTAGGAAGAGCCATCATTCAGCTACACTCCATACCATTAAATATCATTCATAGATCAACATTATACTCATCTTTTTTGACAATCAAAAACGCTGTCATCGAAAAATTAAAATCTCAACAACGTTCTTATTTTAATTTTATGAGATTCATTTTAAAATTAATCATTAGTAAGCAAATTATCAATATTATTATTGTTACTGTAATTATTTCCAAAATTTAAACATAATCACTAAAGTATTTAATTAGTAACAACATTTATTCCTTCAATGATGCATACCTTCAGATCCATTTAAATAGTTGATAAACGTATTAAAACTCTCAAAAACTAAGAAGTTATAATTATAACTAATAATTTAAACTACTTCATTAATGTTTTCTGCAAGATACAATATTTGCATTACAATATCCATAAACTAGTAAAAACATATAGATTATAAGTGTGTATCATTTAGACGGTAAACAATCTTACATAAAAAGACAATAAAGGAAAAAGTATACACTCCTCATTCTCGAATGTTATCTAATCTATTTCACATACAAACATATGATCAGACATATTGGTGTTTTGTTTTCTTTCTTTTTATCTTTCTATACATATAACATTTAACTACTTATTAATTTGTCTTTTTTTAAATTTAATTTAAACACCCGCCCACTTAAATATTTAATCAGTTTATTCGCTTAAACAATTAGAAAGACTTTTATTGATCAGTTGAACAAATGAAGTATTTATTTATTTTTTCAAATTCACTTGATATGATGAATTAAATAAAGAAGAAAATATTGATACAATTGTAAATAAATTATAAACAAGAAACATAATTTTAATATTCTAATTACTTATTATAATCTTATAAAATATCTTTACTTGATTTAAAACAAAGTTCATAGTTACCTATCATATTTGTAATTATACAATAAGTTAATGAGTAAATATTTTCTAATAAAGTATTCATGATAATTATATTGTATTAAACGGGAAAGAACAAAAAAAGAAAGAAAGAATCCTAAATGATAATATTGGAAATTTTTTAAATATAAAAATGCATCATAATATTTCTATATTATCAATGGATAAATCTAAAAATTTAAATCATTCCATAAAATATTTCAATGATTCATTTAAACAAACATATAATCAACATTTATGGATTGATAATATAAAATCTCAAATGAATTCTAATGGAAAATATAAAATTATACGTACTATAGGACAAGGAAATTTTGCTAAAGTTAAATTAGCAATTCATTTATTAACTGGACGTGAAGTAAGTATTATTTTGGTTAAAAAATACCATTGAAAGATTTTCATGGCATATAATGTTTTTTATAGACTATAATTGACTTATCTTTCATTACCTTTTATGAATGACTGGATGCTGAATTGTATCTTGTTGGAAAGTTTAGAATTTTATTTTGGTTTAAGTTTGTGAGATAATATTAGTTTATGGTTAAAAGATATTTCACTAGTTGAAATCATGAGTCAGTTAAAGCTAGATCACCATGGAAAACCTGGAAGCGCTGTACGACCGTTTCGTTCTAGTATGGGACTCCTCGGCAGTGCTCATCCACGACCCCACCTCGCGGGATTCGAACCCAGAATTGACTCATCTGCTCACTGATGACTGACTTCAAGAGGTACTCCTGGAGTTCTAGTGAGAACCGTTACCAGTGGAGTTCAACCAGGTCTGTTGTGAGATAGTAACTCACTGATGACAATGGTGAATGTGTCGCTCGATTTCGGGGATTAGTTGAAGTTAGACATTAACACCGTTGGATGCCGGCTCAGTGGTCTAGTGGTTAAGCTCTCGCGCTCAAGACTGATAAGTCTTGGGTTCGAATCTCACGGGGGGTGGGATCGTGGATGCATACTGCTGAGGAGTCCCATACTAGGACGAAACTGCCATCCAGTGCTTCCAGGTTTTCCATGGTGGTCTAGCTTGAATTGACTCATGATTTCAACCAGTGAAATTTCTAAAATCTCCACAAAACCCCTTCTGTTCAAAGGTCTATTTGACGTCTTAAAATCAATAATAGGAGTATCATTTGTCCTCCTAGAAATGTTGAGTTATTAAATACTATTTCATACTGTTTACCTCAGGGTTTTACTTGTTATTTTGGTGATAATATTAGCTATGTTGGTGGGACTATAATTTGTGAACGACCTTTGAGCAACGACAAAATGACCTTGGAATGTCCACCTACTTACTTGAGTTAAATGAGGATTATATATTAGTGTAAGGAATTAGAATTAAGATTTAAAATTGAACACCAGGTTCAGAAATTAGATTTAATATTTTTATCGTAAATGGTATAAAATCAAATGAGTGAATAAATTTCGCGCCAAAGTTCAAGATGTGCAATCTTAAATCAGATTGGTCCGCCCATAAATTATAGTCTCACTACTGGGCCTGATAAATATTTACATTTCGCAAAAGACATTTTACCAACTTAACAAAGACAAGGTGGATGCGCACTGCTGAGGAGCCCTATACTAGGACGAAACGGCCATTCAGTGCTTCCAGGTTTTCCTTGATGGTCTAGCTTCAATTGACTCATGATTTCAACTGTTGAAATTACTAATTCTCCACAAAAACTCCTCTGATAATTACAAGGTCACCAAAATTGAGCTGTATTTTAAAAAAGACAATCTTTGTGTAGTGATTTATTTGTTAACTCCTGGAGATGAATTTATACTTTTTTGAGAAAGAGACATTTACGAAAGATGTTTTTGACAATCATTTTTCCTGGAATAAACAAAAATTGGCCATCTTTGATATAGAGCTAAGCAAAAATATGAACTTCGCTATCTTGCATTATTCTTGTCTCCAGGCTAACGGCTTATATTATCAACAAGAATGATCTTTTAACGACAATTCATGGTAACTTTTGATAAACTATTTTTCGAGTTCTCCAACTTTTTGATCGTTAAATTGCTCATTACTTATTTGCAAACCAGAGAAAAATTTTCACCAATGTTTCAAATGTAAGTTATTAATTTGATAAAACTTCATGTGATAAGTATGCAAATAGTTTTAAATGGATAAATTTAGCCAAATAATTATTTCAATGTTACATTTTCTACAACAAAACGAGTATCTATTTTAAAATTGAAATACATAACACTCCAGAATAAGATCAAACTATTCTATGAATTGTCAAATATCACTACATATGTATAGTTAACAATGATTCATTACACATTCAACGTTACAATGAAAGTGGAAAATTACAGAGATGAAAATATTTGCATGATATTTTGACTAGATTTTTTAGAGCAATAATGCTTTATTTATTAGCAAGACAAAATTGTTGAAATTCATAGAGTATTTGGTTTGAAATGATTGTATCACTAATATTGATTACTTTAAACAAAATTATTATCATCTGTATCCTTTTTTGGGGGAGGAAATTCACAATCAATTCTGTTCTCGAAGATCTGCAACATTTTAATGCATGTAACTGATTTCATATCTCACATCTTTCGTTCTTCTACATATATTAAGTGATTAACCTCTATAAATCTCTCAGTTAAATTACATCCACTTGCTTACTAGTGAATTGTTTCAAGATATATTTTCAAAAATCTAAAAGAAAGTTGTGACCAATGGTGTCCAGCCATGTCAGAATTAAAAAGTGCTGTCACCAATATCATTTAAATATCGTCTCATAATATCGAGAGCTGCCCCGATGTGTGATGTTTTATGGTGTAGGAGTAGGTTGGAAGGATGATAGGGACGGTCAGACCAAAACGTGGCACAAATCCATGAAGTCACTGAAAAGTGAACTAAGTCATGTTGGTAGGTGTAGACTACCTGGTTGGGATCCGCGAGATGATAGAAACCTATGGTTAGAGACCTTGAATGACATGGCTCAAAATCGTTTGCAATACCGCAGATGCATCCACTCTTTGTGTTCTCCCAAATTTTAATCTTCTGAATTCATGTCCCGTTTTTCTCTTTCAAAATTTATTTCACTGTATTACACTCCTTAAATAACATCTTCAAACCCTAATCTTTCCGATTACTGCTTATACTCTTGCCACCTCTACCACTATGGGATTTGAATCGACAACTGCATCTCTGTGCTAATGTGGTATGGCAACTCGAACTGATGTATGTACGTACGAAGTTCCACATTGTTACTGACTTGTTAAAGTAAAAAACATTGGATGCCAACTCAGTGGTATAAAGACTATGCAATGGCTGATAGACTTGATTGTCCTGAGTTTAATCCTTGGGTGGATCGATTTACTGCAATGAAGGTATTAGCATAAAAGCAAGCATAAAAGGATGCTACTATAAAGATGGCGTCTCAGTGAAAGTGACTTACACAAGACCAAATACCAAATTGATGCAAATTAAAAATAATTAGCAATTCATCTTAAAATAATTTAATTGGGTACTGAGTACAACCACATCTGATAGGAAATGTAACTAATTGTATTTAAAGTGTGATTTGATATAAAACAAATTGACAGTATGGGGATTTGTGAAAATTGTAGTATTTTCAAAATTAAATTCATCAGTCAATCTAAGCCAGAGAACCCTCAACTTTGAAAATACTACAATATCCACAAATCAACATACCGATAATATTCATATGCTCACTAGTGACTAGCTTCATGATGGATTTCCTGGAGTTCTAGTGAAAAGCCGTGATTAGTTGAGTCCGATCTGTATTGGGTGTGAGACAGTTATCTACCTCAGAAAATGGATGAAGGGTTGCGCAAGAACATGGATCGATTGAATTCAGATATTAACATTGTTGGATGTCGACTCAGTGGTCTAGAGGTTGGGAGTTCGCGCGCGGGACCCAAAGTCCTAGGTTTTAGTCCTGCGTGTGGGATTGTGGATGCACAAGGTTTCCAATAGTTGTTTAGTTTAGAATGACTGGTGAATTCAACTTTGAAAATAAAACAATTATTTATTTTTTAAATAAACTACTTGGATAGATTTCAAAATTAACCACAACAAATCTTAGGTCAACATGGAACATTTCAAGTTATATTTTCATCTGCCTCATTCAAATGGACATGAAATATGTAAAATGTTATAAGGAAGGCGAATTTCAACAACAAACTGCCATATTTTCAGGAAATAGGAAATTTCATTAGTCCAGTTCTCAGGTGATCGCTAGTTTACAAAACCATGTACCGATGGTTGATTTTGTTAGTATTTTGCCTAATTACTTTAACCGTAATTACATAGTCATATTATTCTATGTATAGAGAATGAAGAGATACTGTTATTCATTTATTATGAGGTGAAAGTATAACATACGAACTAACTCAGTCGTTTTTTAACATGACCACGTGACTTTAAAGCCACTAATAAATCAAAAGTATTTCGTAACATAGCCAATGAAAACTGTCAATGTTTAATGGTTCTAGGAAGTATATTAGTAAACATGTTCATCGAAGCAATTGATGAAAGTTTTCATGAAATTGATATTGATAACAATCTAACGCTACCTAATTTCGAGGGTTTCAAATTATACATAATTTTATGATACGTGTACCTTTTATCGATCTCTCTTAATTACTGTTATTACTTGTGACGGAACAATAAACTATTCACATGACCAGTCATGGTGATAGGTAATTATAGATTGAAATATAATTTATTTTATCATTATTATGGTAAAGTTTTCGGATAATGTGTCATCTATTATTGTTGTTGTTATTGTTGGCGTCTTTCGATGAAAATTTCAATCAGTTCACAAGTCAGTCTGTTCAGTGTAAAGTGAAACTTTCTTCACTAATATAATAAATAAATGTACAGATATCTTCAGTAACTGTAATACGATATTTTCACTATTTGATCCCGAATAAGGGGTCGTGGATATATATTTCTCAAGAGTTCCATACTAGGACAAAACGGCTGTTCAGTGATTTTAGGTTTTTATTGGTGGTCTAACTTGGATCAGTTCATGATATCAATGAAATATCTGTAGGCTTTAAAAAATGTCTCATTCTTATATAACAGAGAGGGGACAGCAAACGCTATAAACATTTGTGGTTGCACAAATGTATTGAATTTATAATGTGAAAATTCCCTCTTTTTACGGATGCAAAACAAAAAATAGCCAACCATGGTAAGTATTGGTTAATAATTAAGCCCAACAGTTGTCCATAAATAAATAATCAATAAGATGTGACCAGTTCAAGTCTGTCAACCGTCTGTTAACGTGTAAAATCCCAGTAACTGACTACCATTAAACTGGGTATAAGTTTGATCAAATACTGAATTGTCGATCAACTATTAAC